AATTAATTACTAAATATTAGAATTTATGTTTTAATTTCTAATATAGTAAATATCAGTTTGGGACTTTCAATTTTTTTTTTTTTTTTTTGTGGTACGTGGGCCTCTCACTGTTGTGGCCTCTTCCTTTGCAGAGCACAGGCTCCAGACGCGCAGGCCCAGCGGCCATGGCTCACGGGCCCAGCCACTCCGTGGCATGTGGGATCTTCCTGGACTGGGGCATGAACCCGTGTCCCCTGTATCAGCAGGCGGACTCTCAATCACTGTGCCACCAGGAAAGCCCAAGGGATTTTCAATTTTTAAGTGTAAAAAGGAGTCCTGAGACCAAAAAATTTAAAACTTGGTCCTGTACTATTCTCTCTACCTAAAATTCTCTTTTCTGCCTACAGAAATCCCATATATAATTGTAGAGCTGATATTTAGTTATTCATTCAGAAAACATTTACTGAGCATCTACCAAGAACCTGGTTTTTTCTTGCTGCTGGGTACATAGTCCCTAGCCCTTATGGGGAAGACAAATTAAATAGACAACTACAACACAGTATGATAAATGTTACCAGTGATAGACATATAAATGCTGTGGGAAGACAGACCATTGTCAGAGTTGCTTGCCAGCTCACCTAGAACGTTCCTCTGAGCAATGTGATTGGACTGTACTGCCTGTGTTTGATTCTTTATGGTCTTAGAGGGAAAGTGGCTGAAGTTAGCAAAAGATGGGAACTGTTCGCTTGCTGGTCTGGGAGGAAAAAAGGAGACTACAAATGTATTAAATGTCAGCTTCATGCAGGCCCTATGCTAGGTGTTTTAACAAATGTGGTCTTGCTTAACTCTCACAAAAACCCTATGCAGCAGAGTTAATTATCCTTATTTTGCACATGAGATATTGGAGGCTCAGAGAAGTTAAACAACTTGTCCAATATCATATGGTTGTAACTGATGAAGCTGGGATTTTGACACATGTGTTCTGACTCCAAATGCAGGGCTCTTTCATTGCAGTAATAATGTGTTGCTAAAATGGGTGGATCTTTTAAGGTAATTTCTGGATGGGTCTGGGAAACCTTGCCAGATTGGAATGTATTAAGAGAAGATAGAAAAGGTCTCAGGAAGGAGAGAGAGAGACAGCCTAGAAAATGCTTCATTGAAGGAATTATTTGTGAATTTTGGCTGACATGATTTTTCTGGACAGGATTCTATGGCCATATGGGACATCAAGATTTTGTACTCCCTTATCCTCAATCCCTTTAATCCTTCTCTATGCCAGATGATGCCAGCAGCAAAGGTCACCTGTCTGTCTGATCAGGTTACAAACTAGAGCCTGATGCTTGAAGCCTAGATTTCTTGGACCTGCTGTAGGCCAATTGTGCCCAGGCTGGAGACCCCAGTCCCTAGAGCTTGGTAAACTATTCCCATTATTTTTTAAAAGCCTAATAGAAGTACTTTACTTAGGTTCATCCTGTGGGTGGATACTTGCTAATGAAAAGATTAGGTTTCTTTGTTTTGGGTCAGACATCTGTTGATCTGATGTGCTTCAGGTGTGCTACCTATGGAACTCTAGAAAAGGGGTCAGCAAAGTATGGTCCAAGGGCCAAATCCAACCCACCACCTGTTTTTGTAAATAAAATTTTGTTGGAACACAGCTAAGTTCTCTCACTCATGTTTTGTCTGTGGCTGTTTTTGTGCTCAATGACATAGTTCAGTAGCTGCCACAGAGACTATATGGCCCATAAATCCTGAATGTTTACTGTCTGGCTTTTTACAGAAGTTGCTGACCCCTAGCATAACCTCAATTCTTTCTACTATGGCACTTAGCGCATAGTGTTTTAATTGCTTATCTCCCCCACTTTTATAATTGAGCTCCTTGAGAGCAAAGATGAAGTCTGATTCATCTCTTTATACCCTGTGCTGATTATAGACCCTGATATATGAAGAGTACTCAATAAATGTTGTTTAAATGCGCATATCCTATGCTGATCAAAAAGCTCTTATAGGCAATTATATATGCCTTTGAGTAATATAAAAACAGGAATAAGGGAAGGAAAGTGTTATGTTGGTTATGCTAATCTCAGTGCTGTGTGCTTCATCTATGGACTAGTTGTTACTTCCTGCAATTTTTGGGGGATAGGTAATTTGTGGATAGGAGTCCATGAATGAAGCAATCATGCCAAGAGCTCTCGTTGGTGAGGAAACTGAGAAACAATTCCTTAATTTTTGGCTATTTTCTACTCTTTTCCTCAATACCCACCACCCCTTTACCCCACCCTCCATTTTCCACTCCACCTTGCCAGGACAAAGGTAGAGGAACATAAGGTTGCATGGAGGTACTTATTTCTTTTGTATGCATACTATTTATCTACTTTTTTCTTTTATAAAGCCATTTCTTCAGTGTGCTTCCTACCAGCATTACTGTCCGTGGCTTCCAGAAGATGAAACTAAAGCTGTCTGGTTACCTTGGCATAAAGGCAGTCAGGTGAAGTGCTGGCCTGCGAGTCAGCAGACCCGGGCTCTTGCTGTGCCTCTTCAGCGACCTTTGACTTTGGGCACATCCGTTAACATCTGTGAGCTTCAATATCCAACATATTTTTATTGAGTCACATCTGGGACTTAAAAAATTTAATATTTACACACCTTCTCATTTTGAAAAGGATTTGAGCAACTAGCAAGCGATAGAGAGGTGACCTGTCCAATCCTGTCTCTGTTTCTCACCAGCAGACAAGTAAATGATTAGATGGATTAGTGTTTCCGGTCTCTGATCAGGGACTTCTAGAAGGCTTCACAGCCACAGCTTCTTCACCCTGTCCTTGCTTTCTCTTCTGTGACTGCTTCTGTTATCTGGGAGGTCACGGTTTTTCTTCTGTCTTCTTTGGGGGTGATCTGAAGAGTATTTTGCCTAGAAAGATCAGGGTCGAAAGGCAAGAGGAATTTTATACTCTAGGAATTGGAAGAAATACCAGAAACTTTAGTTAAAATATCTTTTTCAAATAGTGAACTTGAAGCCTGAAGAAGGGAAGTGACCTCCTTAGAGCCACATAGTAGAGCTACGACTAGATTCCAGGCTCTTTCTGCTATGTGCCTTGATCAGGCTAGGTGTTTTCCAGGTTCATAAGAGAGGATTAGGTGTCATGAAAGAGACATGGGTGGGCTAGGCTCTTGTGCTGGTTTTATTGCTGTATGACTGTATGGTGGTGGGTGGAGGAAGTTTCACTCCAGACCTCCATGCTTGCTGAATGTAGCTGTCCTGTAGAAGGCATAAGATGTGAAGGGTTTCCTCAGTTAGCCTGTGGCTGGCATTATATGTACAGGCAGTGACAAAGTGAACAAAAAGGAAAACTACGTAGTACTCTGGCCTTGGAACAAATGGCCTGTTTTCCTATTTCTAGAAAGATTGTATTAATTCACATTTATTTATTGACTAAAAATGATGTTTCATTTGAATATGTATTTCTTTGATTACTAGTAAGACCTTTTCCTGTGTTCATCAGCTATTTGTATTTTCTCTCACTTGTATATTTTTTCCTTGTGAGTTATTTATTCATGTTCTTTGTGTAGATCTCAGTGTATTCCTAGTCCTATGCTTGACTTCCCTGCCAAGGAACTATTAGGATAATAAAGCATTGACCCTAAATAGGGAAGACAGTTAATATGAAATACTTTTATCACTGTACAAATAGTCTGTTAAGTGGCTGTGTGAGGAGTCAGGTGCTAGAAGCCAGGGACTGTGAGACAGGTAGGTAATAGAGCTGGGTGGCAGCCCCCAGTAATGTTGTCTCTTGCTTTTCCTGTACAGAGTTCTGCCGGATTGACAAGCCCCTGTGCCACAGTGAGGATGAGAAGCTCAGCTTTGATGCAGTCCGCAGCATCCACAAGCTGATGGACGATGATGCCAATGGTGACGTGGATGTGGAAGAAAGTGATGAGGTGAGCTCCCTCACCCTGTGTGGCTCTCTTCTCCTCCTGTGTTAACAGTCCCTGAAGCTGTCTAGACAGGCTGTTCCCTGAGGAGAGGTGTTCTTGATATTGGCTTGTCCTCTAGGAATGCATCCTTGTCAGGGAAGGTGATTCTCAGCAGAGCAGCCTCTAGGAGCCGGCCTGCCAGAGTGCAGGCCTTAACATCTGTGTCTGTGCCTGGACTGGCTCCTGTTTGCCTACCGGCTAGAAGCACAACACCGACCGAGCTGTGCTGTTTGAGAGGAGAGGGAGCCCTGAGGCTCGTCTGTACAGTTTCCCTGAATCCTTGCTGTAATCCTGCTGTAGATGGAGGGCATCCATCTGTCCTTACTCTGTGCTCAGCCCTGTGCTGGCATGTGGAAGAGAAGGCAAGACAGTCAGATCTTGCCCTTTGGAAGCGTATACTCTATTTGTGAGGAAGAAACAAAGGTTCCTAGAAAGATCATTCTGAATTCCAGGCTGCAGTTGCTGGGATCCAGTTGAGTGGTCCAGATAGTAAGAGCGAGAGGAATCTCTAGGTGGAAATAGCTCTGTTATTGTTTCACCGTTTGGCGTGACTGCAGCTCCAATTCCACAGAGCCCAGAGCCCAAAGTCATCATGTGTCAAAAGACTGAAAAGCTTCAGTTGTTTTCAAGCTCCACTTGAGCCAGCAATGGGGTGAAGCTGGCAAGTTATGCCAGCTTTTAGTAGCGATATGGTGTATATCATGAGGGAGGGGCCGATCTAGTCTCTCCTCCTCTGGTTAGCCCACCTTTAAGTTGTGAATTCAACTTTGGATTTCACGTTGCCAAAAACATTTGAAACAGTGAAAGAGAGGAGTGACGTGAATGAGGAAGGGTATGGAAACTCTGAAACGGACGGCATTCAATACAATTCAGTGTTTATAACTGTCTATTATATGTGTGCCAGGCACTGTTCTAGACGTGGGGATGTGCCAGCAAATACACATAATTACATAGAGATACATCTGTCCTCATATAATTTACAGTCTAGTGAAGAAACTTTAGCCTGGAAAAGAAAAGATTTGGATAATACAGTTTCTATCTTCAAATGCAATCGAAGTAGAGGAATCAGACTTAAATGATGACGATGATAACAGCGAAATCCTTACTCTGTGCCAGGCACATTGTTAAGCTCTTTGCATAGTTACTTTTTTAACTTTGTTGATAGCCTTAGGAAGTTGGTATTACCATCAAGGACTGGAACTTTGGAAAGGTTAAGCATTTTGTTCAAGGACACGCTGGGTAGGAGAACAGATCTGATTTCAAAGCCTATGCTGTTAAGTACTGCAGTATTGTTTCTCTTATGCTAAGGGCAGAACCAGGACCACTGTGGGGAAAGTAAAATATAGGCATATTCTTCTGGAATAAAGAATCACCTCACAGCGCTATCTCGTCATAGAAGAGCCTTCCTCGGTAGGTAGGTAGTGAACTCCCTGTCACTGAAGATGGGAAAGTAGAACACAGCACTCCACTGATTGGTCAGCAGAGGGGATCCTTGTATCAGGTTGAACTAGATAATGTCTAAGGAACTTATAAGAGGAGAAAAATAGACTTCCTGGAGGAAACATAGAATTGGGAGAGAGTGGAAGGGGTGGGGCAGCCTGAACAGCAGGAAGCAGTGTGAGCAAAGATGTGGAGGTAGTAAGAAGCGTGGAGGGTAGGTTTGGTCACACAGAGTGACTGTGGGAGAAAACTGCAGGGCAAAAGCCTGGCAAGGAAAGGGGGCCCAGGCAACCAGGCTGAGATATGTATACTTGCTGAACCTGGCAGCTGTAGGTTCTTAAGCAAGGCCAACAGCCATGATGAAAGTATCCGAACTTTTGGTCACATCTAGATGTGTCACTGACCCTCAGAGGACCCACATTTTATTTGTCTGTGCTGGGAATAGAGCCATGTTGCTGGTGGTGTGGGAGGCCTAGAGGTTTCCTGACCACAGGACTGGGAGATGCGTGGCACCACAGTCAAGAAGGTGATACGATCCAAGATCCACAAATTCCTGGATATCTTTGTCATCCGCTCCTCCTTCTTTCTTCACTTTCTGCTGAATTACTTTGTCAATGGAGGGAGGAAGAAAATGTTCTTTTTAGAGGAATGTACCACAACAAAAAGCTCATCAGCACAAACTGTTCTAAAATAACACAAAAGCTGTCACCCTGCTTTTCCCTGTGCCAGTGGTGAGCTGTTCTTTTTCAGTGTAGCTTCTGCCTGCCTTGGCTTCAGCTGCTCTCCCTACAGTCCGGGCCTCTGGTGGGCAGAGGGGCCTGCCAGTCTGGGGTCTCATGATCATTCACAAGCTATTTTCTCCTTGAAAGAGAAAGTCACGGTAGCAAAGTGTGTGTGTTTGAGTCAGTCTCAACATAGATGGAGTTCATGATCTAACTAGACCATTGGGTGGGCAGCTCAGAGCTTGGAATATCAGATTATGGATGCTGAGACACCAGAGATGAAACCCTGGTTGTGCTGGCCATCAAGGACCTGAGATTCTTATGTCCCGCTTAAAAGAATTGCTGATTACCCAAGGACCCTAGGAGAAATCTGCTGGGATACTCTATTAAGCCCTCATTTATTCAGCCTCATATCGGTAAGTTTTTCAGATAACTGAACTATAACCTCATTTCTAGATATTTAAAAATCTTAGCCATTTTTGAAGTAAGTTTTCCTTCTTACAGATGACTGTGAACAGATTGTTACTTTCTTTGGATTATTCAAAGCATGTCTTCAGGGCCTCTTGCACTGTTACCCCAGTGCTTACATTCCTGTATGCATTGTTGTGATTTCTTTTTATAGTTTTCTATCTCTTCGTTGATTCATTCTCATTTCTGATCTTTCTGTCTCTGCTGTAAGCTATGAAATTAGACTTTCGGTAAACTGAGACTCAGCAGCCATTTTATAGACAATATACAGTCGCTCGTGTGGGGGGAAGCCAATTTGACTTCTCAGGTGTCATCTCTGCTTGCTTTTGTCCTAGGTAGCAGAGGCTATGGATTGTGGGCCCTTCAGATGAGCAAGATGGCACTATTGGTGCTGGTGTCCTCCTTGCAAAGCTGACAGGGAGTTCTGCCAGCCTGGCAGTGTGGGAATTCATGACCTGTGTTCTACTGAGACCTCTGGTAGGGATACTGCCTCTGGGCAAAGGATTTGCAGCAGTGGGATGGCACTTCAGGCTGTCCTGATAGTCTGAGGTGGGCAGACAAGAGCCTTCCTAAAACCACTGTCCCCTTGACGGGACCAGACAGTTTGAGAGCAGTTTTATTGTCTTCTGTGGAGCCTACATGGAAAATAAAGGACATTTGTTCAGCTATTAAACAAATTCTTATTGAATACCTGTTAGGTGTGAGGCACTGTTGTAGGGCTATAGATTCCATGATGAACAAAGCAGATAAGATCCGTGCTTTAATAGAGCTTGCATTCTAGTAATATGTATGTCATAGGTGATTAAGTGATAAGTAAACTTTGAAATTAGGCAGAACTGTGATCAGGTTATAGTAGTTTAGTGACTTCCCTTTGGTTTTCTCAGGGTAAAATGGTGGTTAATGATTCCTACCCTTGGCAGCGTTGCTATCAGGATTAAGTGAGAAAAGTGCTGTTAAAAGTTCCCAGTGCAGGGCTTCCCTGGTGGCGCAGTGGTTGAGAGTCCGCCTGCCGATGCAGGGGACACGGGTTCGTGCCCTGGTCCGGGAAGATCCCACATGCCGTGGAGCGGCTGGGCCCGTGAGCCATGGCCATTGAACCTGTGTGTCCGCAGCCTGTGCTCTGCAATGGGAGAGGCCACAACAGTGAGAGGTCCGTGTACCGCAAAAACAAAACAAAACAAAAAGTTCCCAGTCCAAATAAAGAACTCTCAAAACTCATCAATAGACAACAAGCAACTCAATAAAAAATGAGACAAGATTTGAGCAGACACTTCATCAGATAAGATATATGCATGGCAAATAAGCATATGAAAAAATGCTCAGTATCATTAGCTATTAGGGACGTACAAATTAAAACCACATTGAGGGACTTCCTTGGTGGTCCAGTGGGTAAGACTCTGTGCTCCCAATGCAGGGGGCCTGGGTTCGATCCCTGGCTGGGGAACTAGACCCCTCATGCATGCCTCAACTAAAAGTTTGCATGCCACAACTAAGACTCGGTGCAGCCAAAAAAAAAAAAAAAAAAAAGAAAAAGAAAAAAAAAACCAACCCACAATGAGATATCACTATACACCTATTTGGATGGGTAAAATTAGAAAGTAGTCAAAACCAAGTACCATGTGAGGAGGAAGAGCCACTAGAACTCTTACAGAGTTTCTTATAAAGCTGAACACAATTTAATACATATCTCAGCAGTCCTACTTCTAGGTATTTACCCCGATAGATAAAAGAAAATTTATATTTGTATTAAAACCTGTACACAAATGTTTATAGCAGCTTTACTCATTATCACCAAAAACTGGACACAAATCAGATGTCCTTCAGTGTGTGAATGGATAAAACAAACTATGGAAAACTACTCAGCAATAAGAGGAATGAACTATTGATGTACACAGCATAGATGAATCTCAAAGGCATTACTCTGAGTGAAGGAAACCATCTCAGATAGTTACATACTATATGATAACATCTAATGACATTCTAAGAAAGGCAAATCTATAGGGATGGAGGCCAGATCAGTGGTTACCAGGGGTTAGGGGTGTGGGGAGGGTTTGATTACAAAGGGGCAGCATGAGGGAGTTTTTTTTTGGTAATGGAACTGTCCCATGTCTGGATTGTGGGGCAGTTATAAGAATCTACATAGGTACTAAAACTCATAGGACCAGATTCCCCCTGTGCCCTCCACCACAGTTAATTTCATCATATGTTAAGTAAGAAAAATGTTCCCAGCATAGCATTGACACACAATTCAGGCTCAGTGAATGCTACTTATTGCCACCTTTCTGTTTCCTCTATATTTCCAGGATAGCTACCTACATCTGATGATTGTATATATATATATATTAATTAATTAATTTATTTTTGGCTGCATTGGGTTTTCATTGCTGCACGCGGGCTTTCTCTAGTTGTGGCGAGCAGGGGCTACTCTTCGTTGTGGTGTGCGGGCTTCTCACTGTGGTGGCTTCTCTTGTTGCAGAGCACAGGCTCTCAGCACACGGGCTTCAGTAGTTGTGGCTCATGGGCTCTCGAGTGCAGGCTCAGTAGTTGTGACATATGGACTTAGCTGCTCCGTGGCATGTGGGATCTTCCCGGACCAGGGCTCGAACCTGTGTACCCTGCGCTGGCAGGCAGATTCTTAACCACTGCGCCACCAGGGAAGTCCCTGACAATTGTATTCTAATGTTCATGTGTGGAATGACTGACCAATATCACTGTAGCAAGCATGTCGTCAGGCTGAGATGGGAGTCTTATGCAAGGGTGAGATCACACATTTTGCGGGGTGGAGATGGGTACGTTAGTATGAGCCTGGAAAGCTGCAAAATATACGTAACCTTCTGTTAGTGTCTGTGGTGTCTGGTGTAGAATAGCACAGGGTTAAAAGCTTGTGCTGCAGAGTCACACAGACCCAGGTTTAAACCTGGCTTTCCCTTTACCAGCTGTGGAAACTTTGAGAAGTTACTTAATCTCTTTAAGCCTCAGTTTCCTCATTAGAAGTTGAGTGGTACCCATTTACCGTTGCAACAAAAAGAATAAAATACCTAGGAATAAACCTACCTAAGGAGACAAAAGACCTGTATGCAGAAAACTATAAGACACTGATGCAAGAAATTAAAGATGATACAAACAGATGGAGAGCTATACCATGTTCTTGGATTGGAAGAATCAACATTGTGAAAATGACTCTACTACCCAAAGCAATCTACAGATTCAACGCAATCCCTGTCAAACTACCACTGGCATTTTTCACAGAACTAGAACAAAAAATTTCACAATTTGTATGGAAACACAAAAGACCCCGAATAGCCAAAGCAATCTTGAGAACAAAAAATGGGGCTGGAGGAATGAGACTATAGTACATACTTCTATATATACTATACTTCAGACTATAGTACAAAGCTACAGTCATCAAGACAGTATGGTACTGGCACAAAAACAGAAATATAGATCAATGGAACAGGATAGAAAGCCCAGAGATAAACCCACACACATATGGTCAACTTATTTTTGATTAAGGAGGCAAGAATATACAATGGAGAACAGACAGCCTCTTCAGTAAGAGGTGCTGGGAAAACTGGACAGCTACATGTAAAAGAATGAAATTAGAACACTCCCTAACACCATACACAAAAATAAACTCAAAATGGATTAAAGACCTAAATGTAAGGCCAGACACTATCAAACTCTTAGAGGAAAACATAGGCAGAACACTCTATGACATAAATCACAGCAAGATCCATTTTAACCCACCTCCTAGAGAAAGGGAAATAAAAACAAAAATAAACAAATGGGACCTAATGAAACTTAACATCTTTTGCACAGCAAAGGAAACCATAAACAAGATGAAAAGACAACCCTCAGAATGGGAGAAAATATTTGTAAACGAAGCAACTGACAAAGGGTTAATCTCCAAAATATACAAGCAGCTCATGCAGCTTAATATCAAAAAAACGAACAACCCAATCCAAAAATGGGCAGAAGGCCGAGATAGATATTTCTCCAAAGAAGATATACAGATTGCCAAGAAACACATGAAAGGATGCTCAACATCACTAATCATTAGAGAAATGCAAATCAAAACTACAATGAGGTATCACCTCACACCAGTCAGAATGACCATCATCAAAAAATCTACAGACAATAAATGCTGGAGAGGGTGTGGAGAAAAGGGAACCCTCTTGCACTGTTGGTGGGAATGTAAATTGATACAGCCACTATGGAGAGCAGTATGGAGGTTCCTTAAAAAACTAAAAATAGAACTACCATACGACCCAGTGATCCCACTACTGGGCATATACCCTGAGAAAACCATAATTCAAAAAGAGTCATGTACCACAATGTTCATTGCAGCACTATTTATGATAGCCAGGACCTGCAACCAACCTAAGTGTCCACTGACAGATGAATGGATAAAGAAGATATGTTACATATATATAGTGGAATATTACTCAGCCATAAAAAGAGACGAAATTGAGTTATTTTTAGTGAGGTTGATGGACCTAGAGTCTGTCATACAGAGTGAAGTAAGTCAGAAAGAGAAAAACAAATACCGTATGCTAACACATATATATGGAATCTAAAAAAAAAAACAAAACATGGTTCTGAAGAACCTAGGGGCAGGACAGGAATAAAGATGCAGACATAGAGAATGGACTTGAGGACAGTGGGAGGGGGAAGGGTAAGCTGGGAAGAAGTGAGAGAGTGGCATGGACATATATACACTACCTAATGTAAAATAGATAGCTAGTGGGAAGCAGCCGCATAGCACAGGGAGATCAGCTCAGTGCTTTGTGACCACCTAGAGGGGTGGGATAGGGAGGGTGGGAGGGAGACGCAAGAGGGAGGGGATATGGGGATATATGTATATATATAGCTGACTCACTTTGTTATACAGCAGAAACTAACACACCATTGTAAAGCAATTATGCTCCAGTAAAGATGTTAAAAACAAAAAAAAGCGGAGTGATAATAGTAGGTACCTCATGAAGTTGTTGTGAAGATTAAATGAAATAATGCATATAAAGCAATTAGTACAATGCCTGGCATATAGAACAGGCTCAATAAAAGTTAGTTTTTGTTGTTATTATTATTGTTGTTATCATCAGAAAGAACCTACATTTTGTTAGAGATAGGCCTGTGTTCAAAACCTGGCTTTGCCACTTACTGTCTATGTGATGACATATAGGCAAATAAATTCACCTCTCTGAGCCTCAGTTATTCAGCTATTTGAGGAGGGTAACTCTTTGCAGGGTTGTTGTAAGCATTTAATGTATTCAAAGCTCCAAGCACAAGGGCTGGCGCGTGATAGGTTCTAAATTCATGTTTTTTCCTCCCTCAGCGTGATGGTACAGATAGTGAGGGCTGGCTTGTTTCGCAAGAATTCCAAATCAGCTCTCTCATCATCCCAGGGCACCACAGTGTTCAGCTCTGGGAGCTACCCCCAGCAGCTCGGCTGACACGGCTAGGGCCAGGACCCTGCA